GAACTGGTAGTTAAATTTTTCCAAAATCATATAAGTAGGTCTCATGTTAACATTGAATTGCACATAGTCCTGCTTCTCTAAAGTTATTCATATCCGGAACTGCAGTTTCGAGCTCGCCTAAATTGCTCTTTTCAGCACTATCAGCGGGACTCGAACCTGGTTTGTGGTATTGCAGAAGAAATTCTTATCACATTAACCATTACACCAGACTGTCATGTGTCAGCGGGCAGACGTAAATGTCAAGTTAACCAATATCACATTTCCGTGTTTGGATTGCCAACGAAGCCTACCAAAGCTATATTTACCCTTTTTCGTTTGGGGTGAGAAAGTCCTGTTACCGATTCTTCTTCACTTTTGACCTAATAGGGTGGATAGAGTTCTCTCGATTCACTCGTCCCGCTCCTGTTTTTTCAGTCGATATGCTTTTTTTGTATGTCATGCTAATCCATTCAGCTAAAGTTAAGACATGAAAGATCCTTTTAGGCGTGGATATGAGGAAGTTGATTGTACGGAATGTGGGTATCTTGGATGCACGACTGAAGCTGAAATGAGTGGAAGATCTTATGCCAGTGACCAATTTATCAAAAGGCTTCTTCAATTTTTGGCTTGGTTTTGGTGTCTTTAACTGAACTTAACTTCTTGATTTATGCTGAGCTACACACCCTTCGACAGTTTCAGAGTTGGAGACGAGAAAAGTCAGTCGTCATAATCCCTGTTTTGAATTTATTTGGGCCTCTTGTTGCTCAGCCTCTTCTACTTGTCTCTTCCTCAATCCGACCCGACAAGTTGTTGCTTTTGAGCGCCCAGTTTCGACAGCAGCTTTGATCAGGTTGGTTGAGTGACAACTTGGCTGGGCTAATTACCAGCTTGAAGAGGATATTGAAAGAAGTGAGGCTAATGAGAAGTGGGAATAGGCGAATTGGCAAATGAGGATGCAGCAGTACAAAACTGGAATAGAAATTGACTTATTGTTGGTCGTTGCTAAGACTAACGCCTCCAATTGATGCTTCAGGTGAAATGTGTGAAAGTGTACCAGGTCCCAGGTGGGATGCTGGAAATTGCCAGGTTGCGACCGAATCTTAGACCTCGCCATCTTCATCTTCTCATTTGTTGTTGTTTTTTTTTCATGTTATTTTTCCCCCATTTTTCTCCTAATCTATCGTCCTCTTTTTCTGTCCAGCATGAACCGCAATGCTTCACTAGTCAATTTTGACTCGATCAACCAAACTCATCCTCTCGGCCAGGCCACTCGGTCGCAGATCAGTCAGCCGATCTCGGTCTCCGACGCTTCTCCTCCTCCGCCACACATCAGCACCAAAACCGGCGGTTTCCGCATCAGCTTCAGCAAGAGCCGAGCCAGCATCACCGGCACCGGCTGCAGCGCGCCTCGAGACAAGACACCCTCGAGCCTCTCTCATCCCTCGACCGTCCCGCCTCGGCCAGACGCTTCGGTCACTCCGCCGCGACGGACAGTCTCGTTGTCGTCTCGAGTGGCTCGGCCTCGGCTGCCTTCGGCCCTGCGCGGCTTGGCCGACAATTTGCCCAGCCTCAATCTGGGCCTCAGTCGCAGTCTTCATCTGCCCACCGAACGAGCACACCTTTTGGCCACCGACGCCGGCGCTGCCAACGGCGATGGCGTCGCCTTCACGACCGTGTCGTCGGGCCTGTCGGTCGGTTGGCCGAGCCAGACGACACGAGATGACGACGCCCAGTTTGGACGAGCCTTCGACGCCATCCGCGTGGCCACTGCACGACAAGCGCCTACGTCGGCCGACGTAGCAGATGTGAGTTGTCTACCCCATCACGCATGCCATCCACGGCTTTTCATTTGGGCCAGTTGATCACGAGTCGCCTCATCGGCCGAATGGTTGATGGTGCATTTCGCCTTAACAACACGACTTGATCCGAGATGTGGCAGCACCCATTTCAGTTGCAGCCTCCGTTCGATCGGGAAAAGTTGTCTGACCTCGTTTTGGCAACTTGTCCCAAGTCATCTGTTGTTGTGGTTCCGGTCACATTCAACGTTGCACCGTTGGCCTGCTACATTCTCAGACGTTTCACCGGCATCGTCAGTGAGTCTTGCCATGCCCAGCACCAAGTTGCAACTGGTCAAGAAGCCAAGTGAAGTCAATCCGTTTTCCGACTTTCTGTCGGACGATTGTGCTGGCATTACTCTTTCCGCCATTGACAATCTGCCCACTTGGCTGTGAGATAAAAGGATGTATTCACCCTATTTCGTCTAGGCTGATGAAGGACTGGTAGTAGAATTTTCCCACAATCATATGAGT